TTGAATTTTATTGAAATATGAACTTTTTTCTAATTCAAAACGTGTTTTCGTATATAATTGAATCGTGCCTGATTATTTTATTCTGAGAATTTTAATTGTCATCAATAGATTTCCATCATCACTCGTTCTTTTATACTATTGAAAAACGTTATACAAGAGTACATATTACAGACCTATTTATTAAACTTTAATCTACATTTTTTTTACTATCTATTCTTGTACAGTTCTAAATAAGCTATCTTCCTTTAGATTTACTCAAGAAATACAGACATAATATCTATTGATATGAATACATCCAATTCATATTTAATCACTTGTATCAATAATACTACTCTGTACATTTATAAATATATATTTCCTGTACTTTATATTTTTGGTAATATCGGAAATTTATTATGTCTGCTGATCTTTTTTAAAATTTCTTGGAAAAAAAATGTTTGTGTATTTTATTTTAAAATTTATCTCTTATTCAATATATGTTATATAAATTCTACTACAATTGGTCTTATTCTTATTAATGGATTTAATATATATCTACATAATTATAATAATTTTTTATGTAAGACATATTTCTATTCAGCATTCCTTTTTGATACACTTTCACCTACTGTTCTTATTCTTGCATCTGTTGATCGTCTATTAATTTCATCTCAAAATGTTGATACAAGATTATATAGTTCGAAACGTTTAGCATATTTTTCTATTACTATAAATACATTATTCTGGATTATTTTTAATTCACATATACTTATTAAAGTAAGCGTTCAACAAATTTCGCCTACGGACTATATTTGTTATTATAATTTTTCAAAATTTTATATTGATTTTGTTGCTTATTCATCAACAATTATTCATATTGCATTTTTTCTATTAATGATTATTTTATGTATGTTGACATTTAAAAATGTTCGTTTTATGCGAACTGTACCACATGAAAAACGACATCATATTCGATCAATGACAAATAAAGATTTTCAATTACTTCGTTGTTTATTTATTCAAGATATTCTCTTCATTATTTTTGGTATGTTAATAATTGCATACTATATTTACAGCCTCATAACAAAAGATCAAATACAAACACCATTTAAACAAGCTCTTCACAATTTTTTCTACAAACTTCTTAGTTTTTTATATAGTATTCCATATTGTATGAACGTTTTCGTATTTATAATTGTGTCAAAATCATTTCGACATGAATTGAAACGTTCGATATGCAAGATCATTGGCAAGGATCTAACGACAATGCATGGAGAAGACAACAAACGAGGAAGCATCGGGAAAAACAATATTATTTGTAATCATGTATTACCATCTTGATTGTTAAATAAAAGTTAACATAAGTGTTTGCGAAGATATACTTATTTTATCTAAGGGTGTGGGTGTGGGTCTCTTCTATTGTGACACGCACACCCATCGTATTAAACGAAGTCAATAGTTCGCATTTGTAATTTAACATAAAAAATATGCGTCACTAGAAGAAAAACATATTTCGTATCTTAAAAATGAATTTGAGTCAAACATGAAAAGATGCACTATCAAAATACAAAGTTAACTGCTAAAGTCTACGAATAGTAGATATGCACCAAAATCTAATCTTTTAGTTGCAACAGTGATATACAAAGATCAAACTATGATAACTTTGTTTTTCTTTAGCTCTGATAAGATTTAAACGTTCTACAAAAAGCCTTGTTTCATTTCATTATTATATTCTTTATTTTATCAACCTGTAGAAAGAAATAACAACATGACTGGATCAAGTAAGAGAAATGCCTATTTTTGTTTGCATAGTTTATTAATTCATTTCTTTTATTATTATTTTAGTAAATGCGTGCCTTTCATCTGTTTCTAATGTACTTTTCACTTATTCCACAGTTAAATTAATAAAAGTACCTAATACATCAATTGCATTAGTTCATCGTCTTCTTCAATTACTTATTTTTGTTTATATAATTGGGTAACAATTTCTAAGAAAAAAATAAATAAATAAAAATATTTATTTCAATTAGTTATATCGTCATATGGAAAAAAGGATATCAACAATTTCAAGAACCACATGGTACAAGTATCATTAAAGTTAAGGGTATTGCAAGAGTTGATGGAAATAATACATTTTTTTATACAAGTAAATATCATTTAATTCG